GGTTACTAGGAAAATTTGTTGAGAATGAATGTGAAAAGATAGACCGTCTGATGGAGTTCTACACAAAAATTATATCTGCTGTGGAGAAAAGAGGATTGCCTTACCTTTTCCTGCTTACTTCATTTCTTGATTGCATGGTCACTTGTGTTGTACAGGTATTGAACAGAGTGAAAGAAGAGACTGAAAGACTTGATAGCCTTTTGATTTGGAAGATTTAGAGGTGCCTTTTATGCCTTGTTTCTTTGATCTCCATCTCCATTTCGAGCAAACAATGAATTTTGAACATGTTCCTATTTCTCCCAGATGGGCGATGATGATGGCGGTATAACCGAAAACTTGAAGTTGGGCTTTACACACTGCAGGTATTGGCATAATGAATTTGTAGTGTTGTATCCGATATAGTTTTCTCAGCCAGTGTTGGTTTGGCTGAGAAAACATAATGAGAATTTGTAGTGTCGTCTGATGTTTCTGAACTAAGTCTGTGTATGTTTCAGTTAATTATAAACTTATTCTGGGACACATCTGGCACTCTGGAGTTAGTAATATTTGTTTTGTTTTCTGTGTTACCTCGCTTTTGTCCTGCATAGTTGGATTTCAATTCTAAAGTCATCGTCTTTCTTATGGCATGTCACTGATTTTCAGGAATTCCCAGATGAGAGCAAGAAAGAATTGCTTCTTAAACAAAACAAACTTACGAAGCAAGATGTGAAGGACATACTTGAGGTGTACCATTCATCTCCATATGTTTGCCGTTTTAGTTTGCTTCTTCCGCTTTAGTTTGATTGGTGCTGCTGCTCTGTAGTATTATCTACTATTATGTATAAATCATAATTTGTATTGTTGTTGACCTTTTCTATGTGGCTTGGTGGTAACCTCGGTGAGAGGGATGGCATTAAGAGCAATGACTATGATGGAGCGTAACATCTATTGGTTTTGCATTGCAGGAGTATCATGACAACATTGGGGACTTGGATGGACCTGAAGAGAAGGAAAGAGCACTGGCGCGGACCAAGGAAATTATTAAGGCGTTGTGATGTGCAAGGTGGCCTGGGGTGTAGTTGGTTGTGGAGCAAGACTAAGTCTGGTAGATATTTTGCAAGGGTTTTAGGAGAAGACTATGCTGAGCGATTTTATATTGCAGTCAGCAAGTGTAACTTACTACTCGGTTGTAGATGATGGATGGCAGAAACAAGAGGGCAGTGCTTGCTTCTAATGCACTCCCCTATTTCAAATTATAAGTCGTTCCACTTTTTCTAGATACATAGCTTTTGGAGCGGAGGGAGTAAGCGTAGTATTCAGTTCTGTTGTATTCTATTCTTGTGTAGACTAGCTAGTTATTTGCTCACAGGTTGTTCTGCATTTGTAGTCAGGAACAAAGGAAAACATTTGGGAGGAAAATGCAAGGTACACTGCTATGGATATATGCTATTGTAGAGAAACTGTCATGTATTGTTGGTGGTGATGACTCTTTGACCTTTTCTTGTTCTAGAAAAAAAGGCTTTGTCCATGCTAAGGTTCTTTGTACACAGAGTTTTCGCTCACTTTGAACTAAATGATGAATAACAATGAATGATTATATTTAGGGATGAAAGTGGACTATCCCGCAAACCTACATATATAAAGCAATTCGCTTAATTTTGTGGCTTCACAGGACCCACAAAATTAAGGCTGGATCCTGAGTTAGCACATTTGCATCCCTAGTTATATCGCGTCAATGAACATAGAAATATGAATTACTGCCATTCCACAACATTTTTGTTTCGCTTTGAACTATTTTTGTTTTCCATTTCTTGGTTAGTTGTTTTTTTTTTATCTTTAATATCTTTTGGTTTGTTTGTTTGGCAGGGTGCCTATGAAGCCGAAAAGAGCAGAAGCGCAGCTTGTTGACGTCTCAGCCTAGCCTAGCGCGCCACGCCATCATGTACTATCCTCAGCCTGCCGTCTCCGTGGCGGCGGCGGCGGCGGCTGCCCTCCGCCCCTCGCTCCCCGCCCTCCGCAGCCACTCTCACTCCCATTCCCCAAGAGCGTCATCCCTTCTCCACTGCCGCCGCTCCTCCGCGCCGCCTCCATGGGTGAGGACTGGGAGGAGGACGCGCCCATCGCCGCCGTCTCCGACGACTTCTTCACCGTCGACTTGGACGCTGCTGAACTGGAACCGGAATCGGAATCCGACGACGACGGACTCCCTTCTCCATGGGAGGGCGCGCTCGTGTACCGCCGCGACGCCGCCGTCCACCACCTCGAGTACGCCACCACGCTGGAGCGCCTCGGCCTCCGGGGACCTCTCCTCCCCCGACTCCCGCGCGCGCGCCGCCAGCCTGGGGCTGGGGCTGGCTGGAGGGGACAGGACAGCACTGCCGCTCAGTCTCAGACCCCCGTCCTCGTCTCCCTCGACGTCACCAGGCGCCGCGGCCGCCTGCGCCTGGACGGCATCGTGCGCACCGTCATCACCCTCGGCTGCTTCAGGTGCCGTGCCATCAGTCTCAATCTCTTCCTTCTTCGCCACACAAGACTACTCTACCTGTGCTTTGCAAACTGCAATCACTCTCTATCTGTCTAGTTGATGAATGCCACCCACACTACTTTCCCATTTAGTAATTTCCTATCTACAGATTACAAAATATGCTCCAATCCTGTCCTGTGAGAAGCAATTTCCTTGTGAGAATAAAACAATCCCTTTGTCATACCATGGTCTAACTTCACGTCACATTTTCCCAACACACAATAAACAACCTGCCTTTCAGGGAAACAAAGTACTCACTCAATCCTCTGTCCCAGAAAGGGCACAATACTTCTCTTTTTTTGTAGTAAAAGTTTAGCTCCCCAACAGAGGCAGCAAATCATCATACTAGTGTTTAAGCTGCACATGTCATGCATTTGTCAAATATATTATATATATGAGAAGCAGACAGAGTGAAATTCTTTATCATGGTCATCGCACCTGTTTGTTTTACACTTCTAAGTACACACAAGCCACACTGACACTGAATCATATGCACCCCCAGTGGTAACTAGTACTAACTAACATAAGATATCATGCTTGGCTCTCTTCTTTGCTCAGGTGTGCTGAGCCAGCTCCTGAAGGCATATTTGCGAATTTTTCCCTGTTGTTGACAGAAGACCCAGTAGAGGAACCAGACGTAGTTGACCTCGGCACGATTTTTGAAGAGGACATCGCTAAGGGTGCTTCGCTAGCTGGCACCATGGATGACGAAGACGATGACCAAGATATCGACTGGGATGACCGGCTGCACTTCCCAGCCACTGACAAGGAAATCGATATATCCAAGCACATCCGGGACATCATACACCTGGAGATCACGTTGGATGCAGTCTGCATCCCCAATTGCAAGGGCCTATGCCTTACCTGCGGCGCAAACCTCAACACCAGCAGCTGCACATGCAGCAAAGACAAGCCGAAGGAGCCCAAGGACGTCAAGGGACGAGGGCCTCTCAAAGAGTTGTTGAAACCCATGCAAAAAAGATGATGCAGATACCACAAAGTTTGTAGAACTAGCGCCACCTCGCCAACTTCATCCCATGCTACTGGCTCCAGTGTTGTCGGAGTTGAAATGGAGACATGAAGTTTTTCCTTTCCAACTGTTCAATGCCACTACATATGAGATACTTCTAGGATCTTTGAAGTATAGGAAGGCATCCATGCCTACCAGCAAATAGATATCGAATAATTGTACATCTGGAGGCAAGGGTGTAGAATGAATGTATTGTAGATGTATTCTCTACCAGCAATATATTTTCATCTTACGCATCAATCAAAAAAGCAAATACAGATATACAGTATGAAATCTGTTAGGTCTCATGTCAACTAAAAATACAACACAGCACGTGCAGGAGCCTACTCTAGAGGAGCCCCGGCACATTTGCGTGAGTACAGACAGACAGGTCGGTGGCTGCATCTCCTTGGTTTGGTTGTTACAACAAGTGAGCTCTCCGATGAAGGAGCTCATTTTTTCAACAATGTCCATTCTTCTATCTCTGTTCTCCCAACTATATATTAGTCTGTCTTTTATGCAGTGAACTAAAAAGTACCTCGCGCCAAAGAGATGAACACCTGTGAGAACCACTGATACCTCCTCTTGTTGCTTGGGCCTCCTCGTACAACAACTTGCTTATCCGGCTCGTTCAGGAGATCATCACGCTCACTTTTTCGCGCGAATTCATCGTCCTCATCCTCTAGATCGTCGCGTCGTCTTGGTACTCCTGGTAGTCATTCTCCTCCTCAGCGTTGGCGTCCACCGCCTCATAGTCATAGTCTTCCGCTGCTGCCTCTCCGTCTTGATGCTCCTCCAGCTCTTGGGCTGCTGCAGCTTCATCGTCATAGTCTTCTGCTGCTGCCTCTGCGTCTTGATACTCGTCCAGCTCTTGGGCCGCTGCAGCTTCATCGGTGTTGTCTTCTGCTGCTGCCTCTGCATCTTGATACTCGTCCAGCTCTTGGGCGCTGCAGCTTCATCGGCATTGTCGTGCGACGCCACATCATCTTCAGGATGGAAGGCTTCCTCTTCCTCCTCTTCTTCTCCAATGCCTCCATGTTCTCCCCAACCGTGTCATTTGCCACAGTTTGGAATTCTTCTTCCGCTCCTGCAGTGTAGTTATCTGCTTCCTGTATGATGCCAGGCTGGGCAGCGGGGATTTCAGAAGTCGCCTCTCTTTTTCTCTTCAGTATGGCACTCAGGGGCTTTGGACCTTCAAACGGAGCAGCCTCCCTGCTCGAAACTATTTCTGAAGTCACACGAGAAGAGCCTAAGCCCTTGACGATGGCATCTTCTCCTGACCTGCCAACATCTTTCTTTGCCTTCAACTCTGCAAGGCTCTTTGGACCAGCAAAGTTCAGTGATTCAGTATCCTCACTGCTATTTTCCTTCACCGCCAAATCTTTTGCACTGTTACCCGGTATCTCCTCAGCTGATCTAGCCTTTAGCCTTTCATGAAGCCTCCCTCGAAGGTCTGAGGGTTTTGGTGGTGACAATCTGACTCTAGAACCTCTATCCCACTCCTCTGAACGTGGCCCAAGCCTGTCAAACGATGTCTCCCCAGGTAGCCTTATTCTATCACGCAGTCGAGACCTTGAGAGGCCATCCTGCTGTTCACCTCTTGCCGACGATGTTGGTCATTGCGCTCATCCTCAAGATGAGTGTCATGCTTACCAGGGGCTTCAGTTGATCCTGAATTATTATTGAGCTTTCTTTGTTTCAGTAGCCTATGGCGCAGATCCGAACTGCTGGCAGCCACAGCGGGATATGTTCTCTCTGGGAAATCCTTTTCTCTGATGAAGACCTCTCTGCCGAATTTCTGTATGACCTTTCTGATTCATATCCACCATGTGTTTGCCTCGTCATCCCTCCAGTACCATTAGCACGATGGTTGTAAGTGGTATGGTTTCCCTTGAATGACTGTTGGCGTCGTCGTCAGCAGCACCGACAATCACGCCAGAACCAGCGGATGGTTCTCTCACAAATTCGCCCACCTCCATACCATTGTCAGTTAAGCCATCCTGGACTGAAGGCCGAGGCTGGTAACACTTTGGTGCACCAGGCTGTGCATAAGAATTACTGTGATTCTGATAAACTCTTGATCGATGATCGGCCCTACTCATCGTCGGACTTTGCTTGTGATGAAGCAGTTTACCATCATGAGCGCTGGCCTTTGGCTTGTCAATCACGCCTACACGCAGGCGTGCTCTGCTGGGACGAAGAGTTGGGTTTTGTCAGGAGTTCTTCAACAGAGGATGAAGATTAGGCTGCAAGGCAGGGGTGAAGACCTTGGCCGGCGGCTGTGGAGCAGGGTTTCCTGCAGACTGGGGCGCATGCAGGAAGGTACACCTGTCCCCTTTTGTGCACATGCCCTTCTGAAAGTAATAACATGGAACACCCTGCTTGGCAATGGCAGGAACAGATCCATGGGGTTGAGCTGGAACAGAAGCTGAAGCTTGGGGTACAGACTGTTGAGCTGGACGTGGAGTTGTTGGTGCTCCGGCCAGGTTGTCTAATGGCTGAAAAAAAAACACGAGTAGAGTAAAGCAAATCATCATGCTTGTGTTACTTAGAATGTACTGTAATAATCATGGCATTAATTTGTGTTTGGATGTGAGGGTGGACGGAGGGCGCACCGGGTGCCTGAAGGAGCATTTAGGATTGGCGCAGTTGCCATGGAACCAATACCAGCAGTCCCTGGGATTCATCCTGGCAGCATCGCTGTGACGGTACTCGCATTCACTTCCCTGCATGCAGTGCAGGAGATTATGATTCCAACATGTGAGCGAGGTGAGTCCAACTCAAGCTCAACTAACTAAGTGTAACCTACTGTATGTAGAAATTAAAATTACAGTGCCATGGATATGGATCTGGAAATGATGCAGCAGGGGGTATGTATTATCAGGTGATGGTAGAAAATGGAATAAAGCTTGAACGTTGGAAGGAACGATCTATGTTATGCATGCGGCCTTGCAAGCGAAGAGTAAGCAACGGATTAAAGAGATCTATAGTAGGAGATTCGGAAAGGCCGAAGAAAAGTAAGGTGGTGATCCAGATCGAAGGCTAGGGTAGGCTAAGTAGCGTACATGCATGCATCTAGAGGAGGCGAAGAGAGATGACATGGCATCTATAAGACTGTAATTGAAGGGAGCGAGCAACATGTATGGCAGAAGAATCCAAGAAAGAGCAGATTAACCTTTAACTTACTGTATGCAGTAGTAAGTAAGAGAAGAAAGGAAATCAAATGAAGAAGAAGATAAAAGGGGCCGGGGAAGTAGCAGGAGTAGGTGGTACCTTTTTGCAGGTCAACGGGGAGGCGAGGAAGTAGATGCAGTCGGTGCTCCGGCGGCGGCGTGCCTCCTCCTCGTCGGGCCGCGCGGCGGAATCCATAGCTGAAGCCAGGCAAAGAGCTAGGCAACGGCGGCGGCGGCAAGATTTATTAGTCTGAAGTGTAGCGGCGGAGGCGGAGGAGCAGCGCAGGCCCCGAGTGAGTATTTGGCGATCGATGCGCTTTGTTTGGGATGGGAATGGGATGGATCTGCTTGGGTTGTTTGTGGTTGTGGTTGCGAGCTCTCAGCTCAGCAGCTCAGAGGAGAGGAGAGGAGAGGAGAGCTTTACTGTATTTCTTTTCTTGAGCATCAGCAGCAGCTGCTGAACAGCTCTGAGTCTCAGCTCAAGTGGGAGGGACGCCAGGGTAGACGAGGGGCTCGGGTTCCCCCAATCTGCTAGCTACTGGCCTAAGAGTACTCCTAGCCAAGCCAAGCTAAGCTAGCCCTGCTCTCTCACTCCCTCCTCTGCTCTGCAGCTGCCGTGTCGTCTTAAAAAGCACAGTAGATCTGGCTCTGCCACCTGTGTGTCTGTGTAATCCATGTGTAAAGTGCTCTGCTCTCCTCTCCTCTCCGAAAAGAAAGTTTCCTTCGGTCTGTGTTTAGTTCGTGAATTCTGACAGTAGCACTTTGATTTTTATTTGGTAATTAGTGTTTAATTATGGACTAATTAGGTTCAAAACGTTCGTCTCGTAATTTCCAATCAAACTGTGTAATTAGTTTTTTTTTCCGTCTATATTTAATGCTCCATGCACGTATCGTAAGATTCGATGTAATGGCTACTGCAGCACTTTTTAGGAAACTTTTTAAGAACTAAACAAGCGCATTTTGGTTTAGTAGAAACTGTGCACAGATTCCAAACACACCATCATGTGTTTCGCCCCTGCTCTGCTTCAGTTGGGTGCATGGGAGTGAGCGCCAGAATGAACATGAACCAGATGGCAAGAGATGAAACATTCCATGTGCACACCACTATGTCCCTGCACACACACGCACACGGCACACCATGTGTTTCTTTGGTTGCTCGCCCAATTTTGCTACGCCCCAGTCCAACCATATATATATGTTTTCTTATACAGGAGAGGAAAAAACGAACCCAAACCATTGCACGCCCAGTTTCACTCACATACATACATGCGACGCAGCCATCGCAAGAAAAGATGACTTCCTTTAATGATTCTGTTTATTTATGGAGAAACAAGCTCCGCAATTCGTACGTCACGAATGTCAGAATGAATTATTACCATACCATACCATACCATACGGATACAGGAGCCATCGTGAACAATAGATTCAGTGACACTTTGGACTAATAAATAAATAAATAACTTTCGCTATGATGGGAAACGAAAATAATACTAAACGGAACAACTAGCCCTGTGCTGAGCCGTGCCGTGATTGAAAGCAAGAAAGGTGTACCCCACCACCGGATTACAGTCACAGTGACTATGTCACAAACTCGTCGCGGTGACTTCCACGTCAGGATGCGATGCGAGATCCAGACGCCCACCGCCGGTCACCGGAGTCGGACGGTTATGACAACAAGATAAGGACGGTGCCCGGAATCAGAAAGCAACTTTCCTCTTCCATCCATCCCCACGCTACACTGACCGTGACTCATCATATCCACACCACACAAGGAGCCTGTCAAGGACTTGTGTTTCATCCTCAATTTCTGCTCCTTTCCACATTCACAAGCGGAGAAAGATCCTACTAAAGGATGGCATGCCACCCATGTCCATAATTGGTTCCCTCAACAAAACATAACAAAACAAAACAATAATTAATAAATAAATAAATACTTCCCAATACTGTACACTGAACTGCAGCCTTACTTACAGCTACTAGAGCCACGTCTATCTGCGTGTCACCTTGCACCATACCCAGTCACAAACCGCGCTGCTCTGCTCTGCTGCCCAGTCAAAATTGTGCCGCTATATATGGTCTTGTCTTACCCGACGTTTGCCACAAAGGGCACCAGCCGCTTGTGATCCCTCTTGCGCCCAAGCGCGCAGGTATCAAGAACTCGCCCAAGCAGCAGCCGGGTGTTCTGCAGCGCTACATCCCGTGCCACCAACCCGCTATCTGGGGCGCTGCTGCTGCCACCGCCGCCGCCTTGCCCCATCAAGGACCCGAACCCCGACCCCGCGGCATACTGCAGCGGTCCGCTCCTAGCCTTGAAAGACGACTGAGGAAGCAGCATGCTCTGGAGGACCTTCTCCCCGGTTCCATGCCCATTCTCGCCAAATCCAGCCTCCTCGCCTTGCCCGCCAGCCACGCCGCTGCAGCTCCGTAACAGCGCCTCCAGCACGTTCAGTGCCTCCGAGCATAATGTGCTCTCCACCAGCTGCGACACGACGTTGTACACCTGGGGTATCTGGGACGGATCCACAGGGGTTTGCTGCAGCAGCGATTTAAGCATCAGAAGAATCACCCGCTGGTAATCCAGAGGGCCTCTCTCCAGGAGCCTCAGCAGGTGCCCAAAGGCCAAAGATGAGTGCTTAGGGAACCACTCTGCACAGATTGGTGGCGAAGCTCGTGCAAACAGATCTTCCAACGACATGATTTCCTCAAAGGAATATGCTCTGAACACTTCGGCCAAATCGTCCAGAGACTTGGCATGGCACCATACTGAGATATTGGATGCCACATAGTAAGCTTTCTGGTTCTGTTCTTGCAGTGGCGAAGCTGACCCGAGGGAAGGTACTTCACGTTCCCTCGTGAGCTGCAAACCAAGCCATGGAAGAAGGCCTGTGATGTGCATCAGTAACCTTGTCTCAGGGCTCCCAAATATAGAGTCACACGTAGGTATAGTGATCCTAGATAGCACCTCAATTGCAGATCCATGGCTAACAGTGGACATGAGCCCTTTCAGCACCAGCGGCTGCACCCCTTCAAAAGCAGGGACCTTCCCAGTCTCAGCCACAGATAACAGTCTCTCTGAAGTAGTTCTAGACTCCAGCCTGTGGAGGTCACTTGCATACCCATTGATGTCAAACTCATCACGTGGCATGCTTGAGAGTAACACATTTTCTGTTGTCCGGTCACGGAATGTCAAGCGATCAATTACCCTACAAAACAACTCAAGCACCTGGCAGTAGATGTGTACAAAGTCGGTGTGCATCAGTGCAACGCAGCCCCAAAAGAGCTGTGGATAAAGTATAACCTTCTCAGGTTCCATGTTTTCAACCATGACCTGTAAAGTCAGCAATATCTCCATCGCAAAACCTAGAACAGCTGGAACAGGATTCCCCAAGCATCTGTGGATGCATCTCAGAAGCAATACACAGCTATCACTTTTAACACTGGGACGTAACGCACGGTATATCTGGTGCGACCGACAAGCCAGGTGACGAGATGTGCACTCCATGGCCCACTTGAGAGCTTCAGAACCCCAAGTCTCACGAAGGTCCCCCTGGAAGAAAATAGCACTAACCATGCTTTGCACAAGTGCCAATAAGAGTGAAGCACTAGGAAGTTCGGTCCGGACAAGGGTAGGATCCTCGTTCTCCCACATCAGGCTGCCCCTTTTAGACTGAATGTATTTTATCAAGCTCACCACATGATGCTTATTCTCTCTTTCACTACTTTCAACCTCATACAGCTCAAGATGACGGCCAGCCAATGAATACAGGAGATTCACGAGCAAATCTTGGCAATGCTCGAGCACAATGTCTTCTGAGCTATCCATCGAAACACATGTGACGTGGAACAACAGAGGTAAATTTTCACGGAAGTCTTCATCATTTTCATAAGCAATTTCAGCCAGAAGAATCAAAGCTATGTCAGCACGTGAAAGCAAGTGTTGGTGCCCTTGTAATGCTGACTGGAGCTCATTGGCATTGATCCCGTGAATTCCACTGCCCCTTGATGCAAAAAAATCATCTGTTGAGTTTGGGGTATCAAAGTAGTAGTCACCACTATCTCTGGAAACATGGCGGCTCCTCAGATTACCAGCAGAGCTTGAACACCCATCAACGGCCCCGACATATTCATTAACGCTGAAGTAGCTGGCCTGATCGGCCTGCCGTTGGGTTTGGAATGCTTACCTCAGGAGCCAATGGGCTCAGTGGGCCAGATACACTTGCCGGTAACTGCAGATGTCCGCCAGCTCAGGTTTCCACTGACATTTCTAACTGCACCATCAAGGGAACCACGAACAAGAAGGGGGGACATGTGAGGCTGGCTATCGACAACTGTTGCAACCTGAGAGGCAGTAGGCCCTTGAGAAAACTCCAATACGACATTTGCAGAGATATCAACTTTCCCAGGCCTGACTGGTTCTTCGTTGTCCTCGAGCATTCTCTGAGATAGCTCGCAGACCAAGTGATCAATGGTCTGTTGTGGGCAGATCCGAGCAAGATATAGGCTAACACGCTTCGCAACAGAAAAATAAGTAGCAAAAGCACCAGTGATCTCTGCCGATGGATTGGCATCACAGTCCTCAATCCCTCTGGTGATCAAGAAGTTCAAAACTGGGATGATATTGCGAGTATTGCTTGCCACAGTGCTCCAAAGTTTCTCAATCTCATCAGGAAACTGATCACCATGTTTCCATGTCACATAATAAAGACTTTTCAGTAACCTCTCACTCCAGCCAGATTCCTTCAGTCTCACAAAGTTGAGATTTTCTATCCAAGGAGCCATGCATGTAAGGACCTGATGTTGTGCAATAATGTCCACTGCATCAAGCTGACGCTGCATTATTTCCTCGCACAGATGCTCACTGAGCTCAGGATGGTCCTTGGCAAGCTTTGAGGACAACTTATACTGGAATTGTTGGTAGGAATCCGGAGGTTGCCAACAACAGAAGCCCGGTAATGCCCAACACCATCAGTATCGCCTTCAGCCCATTCGCTGAAGAGAGAGTGTCTCCAACATCTGGAGGGCACTGTCACGGATTAGTTTTGTCTGATCAACCACCTTGTAGAGGATCAAGCTCACAAGTCTCTGGATTTCACATTTGGAATCTCTTGGCGCATGTAGACTTCAGCCAGAACACTGAAATAGCCATCTGCTATTTGAGGGTCTGGAGAGTAGCACTGCAAATTATTGACAAAACATCAGCACCGTTGAGATTTAACAGCTGGTAGCAAGCATATAAATAGAATAATGCCCAAGTCATTGAGAAGTGACAACATATCATTTACTTTCAGATCAAAATGAGATACTGCAACAGTAACACAATCCTCCAAGAATGATTTGCCCAAAAGAAAAGCACTTCTTGAAGGAGATAACAAACCATAAATCAAGAGGCCAAAAAAGGAAAGAAAAAACTTTCAAGTGTAAATTTGTGGAGGATAAAGCAGTCAATAAGATCAACAATTAATTTATGCATTGTTTTGAGAAGAAAACTTTAGCATGAATAATTTTTAGAGCTGATGTGACTATTTCATGATTCATATGATATGAACGACATTGCAGGTGTGTATTTAGTCTACCTGCCAAGATATTGAGAAAGTAGACATGAGAAATATAAGCTAAACTTACCTGATCTATGCAAGCAGGAAACAAGTCCAAATTTGTCTGCAAAATATTCTTCAGCGCGTTTTTTGCTAAGAGGAGTCGCAAGTGGCTAGTTTTCTGCTTGTCCCTCCCACCAAAACGTCCGCCGTCAGTATGCTTTGAATATGACGGTGTTCGCGGATCAACTGGTGAATGCCCAAAAGGTGCTCTTGCAGATGGTTCCATGAATAAACTATTAATCCATGATATCACCCGGCCAGACATCTTTCTTGCATTATCATCAAAACAAGGCCCATAAAGCAATGAAGCAATGGCATTCATAGAAGCCCAGTTAATAGCTTCTAACTGTTCAGCCATTTCCCTGTCAAATGCAAGTTTGTCAAGCGATTCCCTTGACCTCATATGTTGGTTACTTTTATATCGCTCAATTTCACGACGATAGTCACTGCTGCTTTCCTGTCCCCATGAACTACCAGAATCCTCACTCCAGGTAAGGACAAGATCAAAAAGCCTCTTACGTATTCTGTTGTCAAACCACTCAGCTTTCGCATCAACAAATTCTGGAGCTAGGTATCTCAGAACAGATGCTAATGCGTATCGCAGAGGCTGCAAGTCTTGAAAGCTATCGGCCAAGGAAATAGTAATTTGGCGGTATGTTTCTTCAATGAACTTCAAAAACTGCTGGCGCAGCACAGGTTTCCGACTAAGCATCCCAGGCCAAACCTTCTCAGCTATCATTCGATGTATATTCAAGAACATGAGTGCAAGATCCTCACGGGCGGGACCTAGGATTCTGCTGAACCAAACACAAGTAGCCATCAGAAAGAGTATTTGAAGAACTGTGCCTATAATCCTCTTTTGTTTCAATTTATTTCACAGGTGGTGATGCACCTTGTCAAGCAATGAACATAGAGATGACAAGAAAATACGGATGCAAGTGGGTACCCAATGGTGTTTTCGGGTCAGCTAAATAATTACAGTTAAATGTCATTCTAGTTCAATTTTCCACTCCCCCCAAACTACGGAAATGCCATTCTAGTTCATTTAACCAAAATAGTTTGAACTTGCATCCCTACCAGAATAAGTAGCATATTCTACAAGTTGCAATACAAGGTCAAGCTGACACTATTCAGTCAGAAATTCATAGGAACCAAAAAGACAGTCCCTTTTATTTGATGTTATAGCCTCACGGGATTCAGGAAAAAAAAGTTAATTCCTCCGAAAGGGTACTAGCATTGTTTAGTTTGTAGTACATTTATAGGACTCGGAAGAATTTAATGAGCTAGAAATAGACATGCCTTTAATAGGGGCACAAGGTTACATTGTGAATTTTTGTTAATATGTACGAGTTTAAACATGAAATAAAAAAGAACAGAGAGACTAGTAGACATGGGCTGAACCCTCACTTTGTTTCACCATGTATAACTAATAAGGCCACTAACCCACCATGGACATAAACCAAGGAAGCACTAAATCAAGGAAAAACATCAAAAAGAAATTACTATTTGCTCCTAAGTGAAACACTACCACCACTTAACCTCTCACAAAATTAAAGTAGAGAACAGAAAAATATTTGATTTTCTCGATGAACAAACACTTTGAACAACATTTCCCAAGAATATGGACAAGTACTGCAAAAGGTATGTATTGAGATCTTGATGACATCTAAGCGGATATGCACTCAACGTTACGCAATGTGCCCAACAATCTCCAAGTCCCAATCTCCGGTAGGAGATCTATACTATGTCTCAAAAAGAAAGATGCAAGGCGAAGAGCAACAGTTAGTTTTTGCAGCAACATATGACCTCCCTTGAAAGAAGGCAGCGAAATAAACATTCATACCTAATTAATTCAATATAAATTTCACTAATACATTAACTTTAGGAAGAAAGTTAAGCCTCTGTACCTTCCATTTGGGTTTTCCTTCCGTTTCTGATGACACCTCCTCAATCAATAATGCCAGATCACCAAACATGATTTCACATACTTCTAAATGTGAGTGGCCAAGGGCAGTTGTAGCAGCAAGCTGCAGAAAGCATCAAAAACAATTTCAGTGTATGTGGAGTCAACACTAATCAGCTAATTGTACAATATGCCAAAAGTGAATATATTTAATATGATTTCACCACACAGGAAACCAATATTGTCGCAGCCAAACAAAGAATCTGGAAGGGAAGGACAAGAACAACTGCAGTATATGCAATTGCAATGTAATATGCAAGGCAAGATAAACCATGCAAAATTAATCATTGCATTAACTTACTGCATATGCTTCTGAACCATGACGCAATGATGGAAAAATCATATGGAAGACTTCTCTTGCTGATTTGATTTTAAATTCTTCTCTAATATCAGGTGGACAAGAGCATGCAAACATGGCATATATCAACCATTGGTCAAGTTTAGTTTCAGAATCTTGTGATTGCTGAGCCTTTCCACCGAGGTCAGCAGGAGTAATCTGTTCAAGTCTTCTAATAACCTCTAATCTGTGGAGTTTTGCAGTAAAGTTAATAAGATATCAATTATAGCTGATCATACAATGAACAATCAAATTATCAAATGAATGCAGAAAATAGTGTTTCTATGGAATGAGAACATAGCAATATAATTAAATTTTGAGAAAAATGAAATCAGTAAAAGCACCAATCAGTTCTCAAAAGATATAGGAAATAATTAAAAAGGAAAAATGCTTGGGTTTGAAAGAAAGGGTGTAACTGTTTTCTAGGAAACTATATTTTGTGCCACAACAAATCGGGAAAATATTTAGTGCAAACCACATCTTCGGTGGAATCGTGAATACCCATAGAAAAACATACTTAGGAGTTCTCAAAAAAATTGAATCCATGCACATCCATAGTGCATCTATGGATGTATATTGACTCAAAATTTGAGATTCAAACTCGTTTTGTAAAAATTCATCTTGTAGTGCTTATGCACCTGAAATTTGTTGTTTTCGTATGTTTTTTCACAAAATGAGTTCGAATCTCAAATTTTGTGGCAATGTACATCCATAGATGCACTATGGTTGTGCATGATTTCCTTTTTTAGAACTCCTTAGTGTGTTTTTCTAGTGGGGTTTCACGATTGTACCGAAGATGTAGTTTGCACTGAATATTTTCCCCAACAAATCACCAAATAAACGAAGGAAAGCTATGTTTATCAGTATTCAGTTCCATTGAACATGTTACTATGTTAGGCTCTCAGTCAACTCTCCATAAGTACACCCATCATGGCACCTAGTCATGCTCACATTCTGAGCTTCTGCCAAAGATGTAACTACAAGTTTTTGTGGTAAACTTTTTAATAGCACAGAATGCAGAAAAGCCAGTGCCTAATTGAACTTCAGAAAATAAGGTCAAAGTTGACAATGTAAGGAAATAAAGAAGGCACAGTTGCATTTATCATATTGAATTGTGCGTGCAGAAGTTCCAGAAAAGACCAGAGTTCATGCCTTGTATCCTGCACAGAGCTCGGGCAAAGTTCAGCTGCATATTTCACAATTTCACTGAGGTAGCGAGCCCATCTGCTTTTATCTACACTCTCCAAAATGGATTGAAGAGTCACATCCAAAGGAATAGGGTCCATTTCACGTCTTAGATCATAAGGTCGTCCCGGATCCCAATAACAGCTTTGAACAAGGTCTTCCTGCGAATTAATAAAGAAAACCTTACTCTAAGGCATCCTTGTGTGATCAGGGATTGTGAAAAAAAAACGAACAGTTTGATGACAACACTTGTGCTAATGAAATCTAAAGCTCACAGGAACATCAGAACTCCAAGGGGGTTTAGGAGGAAAGAGAAAATTTACTCTCGTATATGTTTCCTTTCCTAAGAACCTCCAACATTCCAAACAAACTTCTGGCGGTTCAAAGAAAATAAAACATGAAAAATGCACAAAAAAGAAGAAGCACTCACCCCATTCTCCTCTATGATATCTATGATAAATATTGGCTCTGGTTCAAGTTTCAGTTTATTGTCACCCAATTCATTTGCTGAGTAATCCCTGAGATCATTTTGCAGTGCTCGAACACATCGCAGTAACTCCAGGGCAGTGAGCCTTATTTGAACATCAGCAGAACTGAGAAAGACAAGGCCAACTGCATCCATTTCTGAGGCGCGAAATTCAGATACATCCCTGGACCTATGGAAAGGAGACCTCTGTAGTGCATCCCCTCCTATACTAGAACGCCTACCATATTGCATGTCTTTTACCAAAGCCTCCTCAGATAGGCATACTCTCCACAAACGCATCAGCTCCACCAGGCGACCAAGTGACGCTTGAATTAAAAGAGGAAATTCATCAGGAAGTTTTAGGATAAAATTGGCCATTCCTTTCAACACAGCAAACTCTACGATTAGGCAGGCAACGTGCGATCCTGTTCAACACTTGCACTGCTTCTTCACGAACACCAGGGTCAATACTTATGCCATGCTGAGGTATAATCTCAGTCATTTTATCATTACGGCCCACCTCTTCTATCAAGTATGGGATACATTTAAGCACAGACCTGAAGAGTGATCCCTGAGATTTATCCTTGGTTACATTATCTGAAAATATTAATATTAGAAATCAGAGTGAACAGGAAAATGATGAACTATATTAGGATATTACAAACTGGTCCTGTCTTTTTTATAATTAATGCAACAGTTTCTAGAGCGTTGTCCAAATAAATACACAGTAACAACAGCATTGGCCGAATAATTCCAAATTTTTGCTACATATAATGAGATATAGCAGCATACCTATTGTAGCCTTTGATGATGTGAGAAGTGCTAGGCTATATGCCTTGTTGCAAGACCTTAGTATTGACTCAATTGCTGACTTCACCTTTGGAATATAGTGCCCAATACCAGACACTGAAATTAAAAAGTACACACTTACCATACATACAAAACTTGGTTAAACAACATCATCAAAAAAAGGGGCAGACCCAGTGCCGGAGGCTCCCACATGAGTGGGGTCTGGGGAAGGGAAAAACTGAGGCAAGCCTTCCCCCATAAAATCTGCTGGAGAGGTCTGCTTGAACCCGTGACTGGTGACTCAAAGGAGAGAGCTCTCACCACTGCACCAGGCCTGCCCTTCTTAAACAACATCATCAAAGCCTTGCAAAATATTACCAGTGCCAGGTTACCTTGCAAAACATCCAAGCCAATTTGTTGATTTGATGGAGAAACAACTATCTCGAGCAAAGCCCTAAGACCAACAACCTTAGCTTCACTTAAACTATCTGGTTTCAATAATTCCAGGATCATATGATTCATTGCAAAATCCAGATTGCTCTGAGCTAAGGTCACACAGAACTCAACAAGTTTATCATGCTGCACATCTTGGGTCAGCAAGCCTTTCTTCAGAACGGTCAGTAATTGAGAGGTTACACTGTCTAAATAGTCCCAAACATGATTTCGAGGTTGGTAATCCGCATAAATATTCAAATAGAATTTTACTAGCCGATGAAGACAATCCAAAGCCATTGATCGATGGTTCTTGTCCTGTATGATAATTGATAAATCAGAATTATTCTAAAAAGCATTCCAAAGGAAGAACATTAAGTTGCAGAGATCAGAAAAATTGAAAATAATTTTCAGTGATGAAATATTATGATATTATCACATGAATTTATGTTTGTGATCATATCACATGTTTACAGAAACATCACCTTGAGATACTTATACAGGATCTCCATATGCTGGGAAAAATTAGAGTTGAATGCATTGGCATCACCAAGACAAAGTAGAAGGGTAACAAGTGGAAAACCAACCTGGAATAAAGGTTCAGCATCATATATTAACAATGTTATACACCAAAATAATGAGAGAGAGAGTAAGGAGCTTGTTGCTTTGTTCACACATCACTAAAGCTTAACATGCTCAACTTTACAAATAACTTTTACATTATTTCATCCCTATGACATTAAAATCCTTGTTATCTCCAATTAAGTGTGCAATAAGTTTGAAGCGAGCTGTGGTCCTACTGTAAGCAGGCAAGTAACTATGGCCCTGTTTGGCAGAGCTGGTTACCAGTAGCTCTAGGAAATCCTGGATCTGGAGCTGCAGGCATGCTAAGTGCATTTACACGACTCATTTTGTTTATATTTTAGATTAAATAAAAAAAATTAAACCACTTCAATTTAGTCTACAAACTACAGATCCAGCATAGATCTCAGAGCTAGAGCTGTGCCAAATGGGCCCTATATAACATAGCCAGCTTTATTTCATCAAATACTTGATCAGATAACCCTAAGTATGAAGCATGGTTGAAATATTGGGTCCCTAGGTACGAAATTAAATGTTTCAGGAAGTGCTTAGGATGATGCAAGGAATTTTATCACCTATCCAACATAAAGACATACACAATATGAAGGGTCAAAAACTTATAGTGTTGGATTACTTGAAACTTGTGCAAAATAAATTAGAAAAGGGCCTGATTTAAGCAAAAGAAGAGACTAATAAAGGACCATTTTCAGAGCCACCCAAAGAGAATGACAGGCACCACACTATAGCAAAACTAATGCATACTGTTTGTACAGATGCAATATCAATTACATAACTAAAATATCATTGCATCAACTTACAGCAACATGCTTGCTCTGCTTATCCATCCAATACATGAGCTGGACTCTTATTCGTGCAACAGCGTCATACCAAAGTGACAATGCAGGTTCGACACCAAGTGGAGGCCAATGATCTTTTCCACCCTCCGCAAGTGGGGCAAGTATACTTGAGAGCATGTTGCACAAAGCATGTTGCAATTCACTCTTTCTTTTGTTGGGAGGACGATTTAGAGGATTTGCTTTTGCAATAAAGGATACAGAAGCATTTAGCCCACCTCTCTCTTCACCTGAAAAGGTAATGAGCTTCAGGAATCAAAATGTTGTCTATACCGCTAGCCATAAGTTTGAAATGCACAATTCAAGCGTGCCCACATGGCCATTTTATCGACCAAACATTAATTTGCAGATGAGAAAATGAACAGGTCACAAATATTCTTGGTGTTCTTATATAAACAATAACTTATTATAATACAAATTATGGCTGCACAAGTTCTAGATCCAGTGTACATAAAAAGAAGCATAGGTGGTTGGGTGCATCTAAGTAAACCACAACATCAATCATGAACATAATTCTTCAAACAGTTTGGTCCAGTCGTGCCTTTCATCCTTACCAATATCCTATCAACAAATACAAATATTGAAAATTTGAAACTATAAAACACCGGAGAAGTTTTTGCATATCATACCCCCAATTTAAGGTAGCGCATCCCGTTGATTATGCTGAGTGTCTCGCTTCTAAGAGCAAGTGAATGTGAATCAATACGCCGCACATTAAGCTCTATGAAAAACCTTTCTGTCACAGAACTGAACCTGTAAGAATAAAATATCATAGGTCTCAGCAACTTATACACGATGCAACAGATTCAAGTGATATTTTCAGTTATATAGACATCTCCCTCCCCCTTTACCCATAGAAGTCAATAATGTAAGAAGTATACCTTATGCGTGATAAAGTTCCTAAAAGCTGTGCAACAAGATCTAAGAGTAGACCTCGCAAATCAACCAATGAAGGATACTCTACTTGGCTCACAACCCTGAAGAAAGTATAGAAGGCAGGAGGCAAAATTAGCTTCCACAAGTATATAAGTTGGTGCTGCAATTAAAAAGGAAAGGAAAGCAAACACAATGACAGGACTCAGAAAATAGGCGAATGCCATTGAAATAACAGGTGAATGTCATTGAAACAAGACAGCAATCATTTATTGAATTAACATTTTTTTAATGAAATGCCAGAATAAAATCGGCCACAAATACAAACTGTTATACTAGATTTGTGATACTTTTACCATACAAGAAACATGTTAGGAAAGGCAGTTAAACCTTACCTGTCTGCATTAATTAGCCAATCAAATACGAAACTTTCTAAGCCAATCCAAAGTTTCTCTAGACAAATTAGAAAGTGCAAGATGTCAGTCAACTACTTCGAAAAGTAACTCTGCAAAGAACTTAAAGAAGCAAAAAAGGGGAAAAGTAACAACCTGTTATTCCCTCTTGCGGACAATACTCAGCAAACCGAATGCAGGCTGAACAGAATATGCACTCAACAGCAAGCTGAGTAAGGGCAAAAGAAACTATGAAAATTGGTAACAAGAGGATGCAATTACTTATAACAACTAAGCAGCACGGATACGGATACGTGTATCGGTATCGGACGGATACGGATACGCGGATACGCCATTTTTTGAGGAAACCTGATACGTGGATACATTTTATTATTTTTTATAAAAAAATAATAAAGGACATTAAAATTATTGGCAGCGTATGTATGGATGCTCTCTGGAGACTACTCCAATCATTTCACAGCTTCTAGTTGCTACTTCTACTGTCTTTGGCGGGCAGTTGGAGAGGGTATTTTGGCATATAAATGTACAAAGACGCCTTCCCTGCTGTGCTGTGCTTATTGGGCCCAAGATCAGATTTTTGAATCTTCTTTCTCTCCCCCAACATTCTTCCCCACACGGTGCCCCTTCAATCAGACGTATGCGCGAGTGCGCTCCTGCTGGCCTGCTCCTCGCAGCTCCTCCTCCACCGGCGCCATGCCTTCCTCCTCCCACGCCGGTGACCGAGGTCCCTCGGCGCAGGCGGCCGAGCGACCATGGCTGGCTGCGCCCTACTCCACCCCAAGCGCGGCGGGCAGGCGGCCCGCCCGTCGCGGATGCAGCACGCGGACCTCGCCAACAGCAGAGCTCGCCTAACGCTGGTGCGGCACGGCGCAGGGCAAGGGGCAGCCAGCCCGCCAGAATCTGATGCGGACGGACTCGCTAACGCAAAGGGCGCGCGCGGGTGGGCGTAGTAGCCCACCCAAAGGCGTGTGGGATAGGCCATAGTATATCGCAGGTCGGTGGTGGGTGGGCTAGGCCAGATCGCAAACGCCTAAACAGCTTGGATACGTGATCACCACGATCGAATTTAGTTTTATTTATTTTTTGCGATACTTCACGGATATGTATCTGCCACAGATCCATCAAGCGTATCCATATCGGATACGTATCCGATCTGATATCGTGGCCAACCTCACGTATCCGTGTAACGTAGTATAACAATGAAAAGTAATTCCACCGACTACTTGCAGCTATGCTATAATTTACAAAGACGCTGTTGTCCGGTGTTGTTTATTAATATACAAATGACAGCAGGAAATAAAGTGGTCCTTGTTACAAAAATAAATGGTTAATAGATAACAAACCTTCTTTTGGTATGTTGATGCATCGTGAGCACCTTTTGGGGATTCACTGCCAACCAATTATGAACAAATTTCAGTAAAAGGGAAAGGATGGCAAAGAGCTCAATGCTAAATAATTCAAACCTAATAATATTGTAAGGGTGGAGTTTTTAACATAGTTTAATCAGCATACCTTTCTCTCCACCGAAGAAGAGCTTCCAAAAGAGGTAGAGGTGTGTGTCTAGCAACCATGGCAAGAGAATCCAATACTTGCTCATAACTAGGATCAGATGGCCGGAGGTATTGCCCATCCTGTCATTCTCAAAATTAGAACAGAACTGGATATAGTTTGTGTTTTACTTAAAATGCTGTACCCAATAACAGACCAACTATAATTTGGCATCATGACCATATGGTTGGTAACTACATGCGTAGAGGAAACAGTACTACCTTGAGCTACCCAACTACATATGTAAGTTATGTCTAGATTAAGGTTCTACCCATCATGCAATCTTGATCCCCTTCCTGCTATATGAAAAAGGTGTATAACCTCCCTAAATGAATCAAGCACATCTTGTATGTAACTAGGATACAATGCCTATAAAGGATGTACATATCAAGGTCAGTATTTTATTAAGCTTTTCCAGAAGGAAACAACCTAACTAGCTCGGCATGGCCTATTAAGGGACAATTTATCAACTTAAGTCTTCTACCACCAAATTATAACTGAGCCTATAAACTCTAAAGAACAACAAAGCATTTTAGTCCCAGGCAAGCTTAGGTAGGCTCGAGATGAAACCCAACATGAGCCACTAAAGCTATGATCAAATAAACATAAAGCATGTCAACAAAATTTTAAGACCTCTAATCGAACACCAGTTGACAAGAATACTAATATTAGACAGAGACTTAACACATTTTGGGGAAACTTTCAACGGAAGCTACAAATAAGTTTTTTTCCCATTATTATTGTTGGGGACCGGCGCAAAATAGCTAAAGGTAAAGAAGAAAGTATTTACAGTATGCTTGTGGCAAGGTTGACCGCGGTGTGGTATCTTTGGTAAGAAGTTTAGTGCAGATGATGAGGAACTGTTACAGGTGAACTCGAGGTGCATCTTGTGAGCAACTATTGCCTTCTGCTGTGAGGAGTAAGGACAGCAGCACATTGATTCGGAGTGTAGGTTATTCACTCCAGTGCCACAGGCGTTTTGTGTTTTTTTTTTATAACAGTACCACAGGTGTTGGTTGTCTTGACAAACCAAAGCATCATACCAATGAAAAAGAATGAAGGGACAAGCATCTCAGTAGAGTGATTCCAATTTGCAGCTGTGTGTTGGATCATGTTGTGACAGGCCAAATTATGGAGAACTTTACATTGTTACAGGAGTTGAAAGAAACAATATCATGCCAAGAGAATCACATCCCAATTGTTAGTGTTGTGTGGCATCAATGTCTGCAGATACTGTTGGTAGGGCATGAATAATGCCCGCAGTGTATGCAATATACATGAGGCGGCAGAAATGGAACGATTGTAGAGTAGCACTTGACATGCAAGGGAGCAGAGAGTAACATGCATGATATGGAATTCGCGAGTGCAGGACAAAGGACTGGAGAAGGAAGAAGTTAGCCAGAAATCCCTGAATGGTGGGAAGCCTTGCCACAACAGTCGGTAATAGTAATGGTAGCGCCGCGATCTCGAATCCAACCGATGGCCATGATGCCTTGTCACCTAATTGCCAGGTGAGCCTCTTCTGAACAGCGGAGTGGCAACGCCCAGAGGAGACCGCATGGGGTGGGAAATGGAATCGTGGAATCATCCATAATCGAAGTGGGGAGAGGGAGCAGCTGACCTGTGCCTGGGCGGTCTCGATGCGGCGGCGGGCGAGCGGGAGGAAGCGGGCGAGGAGGGAATCGACGATCTGCTTGGCTGCGCCGCCAGCGCCCATGTCGGACGTCGAGGCCGCCGCGCTGGGCGGCGTGGGGGGCAGCGGCGGGGGGTAAGAGACCCCCGCTGCCGCGGCCGCCGCGGCAGCGGAGAGATGGTGGGAGGAGCGCGGGGTAGCCAGCTTGAGATCGCGGGGAAACCGACCCAGCTAGGCGGCGATGCGGAGGCGGCCCCCGCCTCGGTCTGCCTTGTGCCCTGCCCTCTCCGAAGGTACAGACTAGACAGATGGGGCCATTGGAGGCGGTGGAGGTCCTCAGACTCGACTGGTTTCTGTATTCTCCTTTTTTTTCGGTTTGGGTCAGGATCAGGATTAGGAGCCTTTTAACGTGTGCCATTATAAAACTGTATATTATCGAAAAAACGAAAAGTTCACCGGTATCCATAAAATTTTCTTTACCTATATACCACATCCGTCCATTTTACTTTTAACAATAGCTAACGGCTAACGGAAATGACTTTTTTACTCTTAGTTGTGGTATTCATCAAATTTCCTCTGTTTTCCTCTGGTGCTACTGCCGTGTTGTAAAAAACTTCACTTTTCCTCTATACCACTATAATAACCTATGTGTGTGCACATAAAAATTCAAATAAATATAAAATCAACAATTACGATAACCAATAAATATAAACTCTTGACAATTGCGACAACCAATATATATAAATTACACAATTACAAGAACCAATAAATATAACCGTTGCGACAATTCCAATAAATAAAAATTCGACAATTGCGACAACCAGAATACATTCAGACATAAACGAGTTCTAAAATTATCATCCACATACACTTAGTGACCGGACGCTGGAGGGTTGCGTCCGGTCCTGCTGACGTGGCAGCGCACAGGGGAGACGTCGTGTGACCAGACGCTGGGTGAGTCCGATCGAGCATGACCGGACGCGTCCGGTCGTGATTTCTCGCTTCTGGATGCTTACTGGAAACAACCGGACGCTGAGGTCCTGCGTCCGATCACTTCGCAACAGCGCGTCCGGTCATCACTTAACTGTTGGGATCGAGCGCTCAGTATTTGAAGAGAGGGGACATGTGGCGTGCATCACACGATCGGACGTTAGGGTCCTGCGTCCGGTCAATCTGATCGGTGCGTCCGGTCAATCTGATCGGTACGTCCGGTCGGCCCGTGTTCAGTGCAGTGAGGAGCCCAACGGCTCTATTTTGTGGGGCCTCTATTTAAGCCCAATGACCGGCTCAAGCTCACTCTCTTGGCCATTTGCATTGATCTAGCAACCTTGTGAGCTTAGTCAAAGCCCTTCCACTTATCTCCATCATTGATTCATTATCTTTGTAAGATTGGGAGAGAATCCAAGTGCATTGCTTGAGTATTTACATCTAGAGGCACTTAGTGTTCGTGTTTCGCTACGGGATTCGCTTGTTACTCTTGGTGGTTGCCGCCACCTAGATGGCTTGGAGCAGCGAGAATCGTCGAGCGGAGGGTGGTGATTGTCTCTGGCTCCGATCATAGTGATTGTGAGGGGTTCTTGACATTTCCCCGGTGGAGAGTCAAAAGATACTCTAGTGAATTACTCATGACTTGTGTGATCCTCATCTTGTGTTGGTTGTGCGGCACCCTATTGAGGGTTTGGTGTGTGATGCCAATTAGCGCGTGAACCTCCAAGTGAGTGAATCGCCACAACGAGGAGTAGCTTGCCGGCAAGCAAGTGAACCTCGGTAAAAAATCATTGTGTTCATCATTTGATTCCGAGGTGATTGGTCTTCATTGATATTGATTCTTGTGATTGATTGGTTCACTCCTCGATACGACGATATAACTATCTTGCTCTCTCTCTTTATATTACCGCAAACTAGTTATCAAGCTCTTTAGTGTGGTTAGTTGTGAGAGCTTGTTAGTTTAGTTAGTGTGCCTCTTTAGTTAACATTTGAGAGCACACTAATTTAGTGTAGTGACATAGCTATTGTGTGGATAGAAACTATATAAACTAGAATTGTGGTAGGTGGCTTGCATTTTTAGTAGGCTAGCGCAACACTCGCTTCACCTAATAATTGTCTAACCGATTTGTTAAGTGTTGTTGTAGAAAATTTTAATAGGCTATTCACCCCCCCCTCTAGCCATTAGGACCTTTCATCGCCTATTATCGATGCATGAATTCTCCACTTACAACCATCTACCAATCATGTGCAGTATACCCGATACCTCCTTGGTTCACTCTTTTCAATGTTATACTCAAATTCATTCTTGATAGCATGTGTTGCAAGAGCCAACTTAAATTCATGCATGTTTGGATAGATGATCCCTTCTTCCATAGGAGGGTCATCTTTGTTGTATGCAACATCAGGGATGTGAGAAGGCACTCTATCCTTAACAATCTCATCTACCTCAGCATCCATATCGAAGTCAGACATAGAATCAGATTCAGAGTTTGAACCTGGATCATAATCTTCATCCATTTTCTCAGTTGTGTCAACATTTGCATGAGAAGCAGGTGCTATGTCAATATATAAACCCACCTCATTAACACCCACATATTCATTCTCTGGTTCAAGATTCATAAGATAATTATCCTCAGCCTGTACCATGTCATTATCTGGTTCTGTAGCAGTCCCAGTTTGAGTTCCTTTGCTAGGTTCTACATAGCTAGGGGCTGACATTGATGGGGTGCATGGGATGTCAACATTGTCCCATAGTGGATTTTCTGGTGGATCAGCATCAGATTTATGATATGCAATTGACATGTAACAATACTTGGAGCTCATATGTTTCGCGAACATATGCATTAAGTCTTGGTCTGAATGAATTTGTATGTTGGACTTGCTGTCAGCACAGAAATAGAACATCTTCACTACATCACCATACCCGCAAGGAAACTCATTCACAATTACAGCAACAAGATCTTTAAAATTTGTGGTGTCTGAATCAACAACTTTGTTAATACCATACCATGGTCCTGGCATAGTTGGACTAATTGTCTTGATTTTTAGATTGAAACTGGTATCGATGTCATTCCTATAGATGAACAAATACATATCTACATAGTTTAATCCAATCCTAACCACACCAAACATGGCACTGATGTTCATCAATTAAAGCAAGGAACGAGAACTCACCCATCTGGAAGCCAAGCTGGTCCCACGTCCACCATCCTTTCTAAAAATCCTCAACAAATCAGCACGAGATGGGACTCCTACAGCCTCAGGCGATCTGGTTCGCGCCTGTAGCCTCCCCGGTAGCGCCTGAAGGCTCCCCGCGCGTGGGCCCTATGGCCTCTACGATGCCTGCCCGCCCCGTTCGTGAGAGCCCAGCGCGCGCCCCGACCCCGACCATGCGAAGTCACACCCAACCCGTCCCTTGCGTGCGTGAGACATAGGGGACATGCCACCCTCCTTCCTCCGCACGAGATACAGTGGCCGCCTACTCTTCCACGCCCACCCGCCGCCTCCCTCAGAGCCTCTTTAGGGTTTGGCTTAAGGTGGAGAGAGAACTCGATAACGAAGCAGAGAAAGAGTGGGGAATGACTAGAGAGAGTGATGGGCAATAGAGTAATTTTAGGTCTAGTTAGGAGCCAGCTCTGTTAGAATCAAACGGTTAAGTGACGGAAGTGGCACCTGGGGAAAGAAAATTTCATGCATGGGTACTGAGAAACTTTTCAAAATTTCAATGGTACATGGGTCATTTGGATCTTTTATAATGGCACACAGGTAAAAGGCTCTAGGATTAGTAACTGCCCCTGCCCAACCATCATCTAGCCCTTGATTTCATTCGTTCAGAGCCTAGAGCTCTAGAGTCCAACCCAACCCTTAACAAAAAAAATTACACCTATATACTCTCTCTGGTCTTTTACATGTCACACTAGGTTTGTCCTCCCTATGTCATGTGAGATTCATGTCTCAACGACACATCCGGCGAGTTGGCACTATGGCGTTCGACGTTGTCTCAGTGTAGTTTTCACACTTGGTGGTTTTCTGGGCCTAGAATTCTAGTTGATACTTGCGAAGTCTAAAATATCAAACTAACTAACTACTAACAAATCTTTCTCTATTGTGGGCATTTCATTTATCACCAAAACATCAGCAAAAGACATGCCTAACCAATATATAACAAGCCTACTACAACCCAACTAGCAAAAAAACTTACATGAAGATCGCAACGCACCTAATAGAGCTAGCGCAATGTTGTACAAATGTGATCGGTTGCTTGGACAAACCCAAAACTACATAAACTAGCTCAAGCTAAAGAGAAACCTCTTTCTAGGCCATTTGAACTCTCCCTCTTTGTGAGGATTGTTTGATTCTTGTGAGATCGAAAGAATTGAGTTGAGAGATTGGGTGATCTAAAGAGAAATAAAACAATCCTACCCTTGAGCACTTGCAGATCTTATCAAGCATTTGGTGAAGTGTTTGTTAGTCTTAGAGGTGGAGCCTCCTGGACAACAAGGAGTTACTCGGTGAGCTCGAGCTCCTAAGCTTATGTTAAGCCATACGAAGTTTGTGAAAGTTCTAATTTCATCTCCGCAAGGGAAGAAATCAAATAGCGAAGTGGCGAAAGCGGTTGAAAGAAATCTGTCTCCCTTTGGATCGGAGCTCCTCAATGGAGACGTAGAATTCATGAAGGTGAATCCAAAATTTGTTAAATAAATCAGGTTTATCCTTTGCTTGTTCTTATTGTTCTTCATTGTTTCAACATGATCTACTTGTTGTGAAGCATTTAGTCAAAACCATCTTGTGGAACTTGCTCACCATAATCCCCTATACATGTAGTAAATGTAGATCTAAATTCCATTGGTTGAATTGGTAGATCGATTAGGTTCTTCACTCACAAAGTCAGAATTCCACGTCATGGTTGGAATTTCTGATCAAGGTCAAAAATTCCGAGTAGGACTAGAATTCCTGATCACTATCATTTAATCGACTGTGAAGTTTGAAATTTCAAGTTTCCTATTCATCCCTCTAGGCGACATATCAATCATTTCATTACCCACAAATCCTCTTCTTTGAGTGTCGCTCTGATGCCTCACGTAGAAATTCTAAGC